ATTAATTTTCTGACGGTAAAATTTATATATTGTTAACTGCAAGTGCAATTTATAAAGATAAAAAACACCACATGTTCTCATTGATAACTAACAAAAACAGTTACACAAATTGCTCGTTAGTTTTACAAACGAGTTAATGTTGTAGTAAATAGTAATCTTTATTTTTTTTTTTTGAGAATAAAAAAATTTTTGTCAAAACTGAAGCTAGTTTAAGTAATCGTTACTAAAACGGGACAGAATAGAAAGTATCAATAGAATGAATGATCGACTTCAACAACTTAACATACCTCATATGGAAAAAATTTATATTATAGTACAGCAGCCAAATTCCAATATAGAAGCGTTTCGGCTTCTGTCATGAAGTTCCACTAAAGGTATAATTGTCGTATATAAATTTTGACTCCAATATTTTGGGCTAAACGAATTGGAAATTTTACAAAGACTTGACTTTTCACATTTTTTCCAAATATTTTTAACTTAAATTTTGATCTTAACTGAAAGAAAAAATTTTTAAATGAATTAGTTTTCGTTCAATTTTACTAGTTCAAAATGCAAACAGTTTCAAGAAATATCGATGAAAACTTGATTTCTATTCAGATCTCATAAATTCACTTTTAAGAGACAAATTGTGACTTGGATTATGAAAATCTGAGAACTGACATACACTTATGAAGTCATGAATAAAAATATATGTTATAGATTATAATCCTATCGAAAACAGTTTTTATACAATTTTTGTAAGACTTTGTCTTAAAATGAGAATAATTAATCACTTCAATGAACTAAACAGTTTCATATTCATTAACAGAAAAATATTGGAAATAAGAGGTTCATGGGATAAGGATTAACTGCAATCGTGTTCGTTGTATCACTTATCCGTATGCTAGGGATGTCTTAGTTTTTTTTTTTTACACTTTAGTTAATGATTAATAAAAACCGTTAAATTAAGGACGTATTAAGCTTATTTATTTTTCGTTGAATTTTACGTACAGACTCTGTTCACTGTTCTCACTATACTCCATTGCTTCTTCTTCTTCTCTTGCTAACATATCTGCTGTAGTGTTGCCAGCCAGTTCGTACTTTACAACTCGGCAAATCCTGAAGACAAATCATCCTCGATTTGCAAATCATCGTCTTCATCTAGTTTGGGAGAGCTGGGACTTGATCACAACTAAATCACCTTTGATTTAGTTAAAACGCTCACGAGCAATATTTTCTGCGATCTGTAGTCGTTTTTCAGCAATCGCTATTTGTATAAGTTAATTGTGCACGATGTTCCTAAGATCGAAATAGAATTTAAGTTGAATCGGGCTGAACCCAGATGTCGTATTCCTTTGCAAGTTTATTGTAAATTGTAAGTTTCGTGGCGTTGTGTCCCAAGTTTTAGGATCATCGCTCGACCTACATATATATATATATAATAAAAACATATAAAAATTCAAATAAAAATGTTTTACTCAACCCGCCCAGTCTTTTTTTTGTTTTCCACAAAAATGAAAAAGAAATCCATATCCTTTTTTTTTGCTCAATTAATCCATTAATAACGAATAATTTAAATAACGAATAATTTGTTGCTATTTGAAACTATTGAATTTTGATGTTGTCAAGATAGAAAAGAATTTAAAATGAAAATAGTTTGTATGCAATTGAATCAAGTTATTATTTTATTATTATTTAAGGTATCTGCGATGATTTGATTGAGTTTTTTCTCAAACGTTTTAAAATCATTATAAGGGATATGAAATGATGGGGAGTGTAATAAAGTAAATGCAATTTTCGCTGAAATCAGCCTACGTAAATAGCTGGACAAGTTTCCTGTATACAAACAAATGTTATGATCCGCATCTGGTCGGATACAGATTTGCTAATTCTAGCACTTTAATTGTTTAATTGGCACATAAACCAATCTGTTCAAGGTTCCTTAGGCACTTTAACCAAAGAAAACACTTTTTTTAATTCAGATCTTGAATTATCAACTTCATCGAAGGCTTCCCATACCGAGTTTAAATGCGTTAGCCGTTCTTCCTAATAGGCCTTGGTTTTCCTTGCCTTGACATCCTTCTTGTAGTTTTTCATGATGTCCTGGGTTTCAGTACCTGTTTCAGCCTGTTGATTGACAAGGGTCTCCATGGTCATTTGATTGTTGATTGATAGAAATGTTGATACGCGATGGATCACGTCGGGGTCACCAAAATGTTATGCATTAAAGAATAGAAACACATCATAACTCATGATGTGTCTGAAAACAAAAATTCCGTTGAAAATATATTTATATGTAAATTCCTCTTTAGTGACGCTTTAAGCAATGATCAGTTTTTGTTGTGTAAATGAAACTTTCTTTTGGTTAATACTCAAAAAGAGCATGACATTTTTAAGTAAAGATGGAGAAGACATATTTAGCTTTAAAGTCAAGGCAATAAATTTTACAACCAAAGTTTGGTAAAATTTGTTAAAAACATTTTTGAAACTGTGTAAAGAATAACACTCATTCTTGTTTCCATAGCTAATTACATAAAATACAATTTTAACCGAACAAAATTCTTTCTTTGTATATAAAATGTAAGTGGGATTTCATTTGCTCCTTCAACAATCGTTTATCTGAAATTTAAACGGAACATAAAAAAAACCACATTATTCCTCACACGAGTATCTTCAAGATTTTCTGGAACCGTTCACGCATTTGCCCGTATTTTATTTATTATTATGCAGTCAACGTAGCGCAGCATAAATAAAACCGCTAAGATTAGCCTAAATCTGTGCGATGACTATGAGAATTGTTTGCAAATAAATTGTATTTCTTCGTGAGCTAAAACATTGCATACTTCTCGGTGTTAGCGGGTGTTAATAAAATACTGCTAACGCTATGGCTTTTGCTTTGTTCAAGTTATTACACTAGCAAGAAAGTATAATAAATATTTATTAATACATTTCGTTTTGGTTAGCCACTTTTCATGTCCGGCCGTAATCATCAGGTATATTATTTTGATTAATGCATTTGTTATATATTTAAGGGAGCATATAAGCAACTAAAAGTTTATTACCACTGGTTTTCCATTTTTATAACAATATGCAATTTGCATATTCGCTATAAAAATTTTCGCAATATTGAATAAATTTTTTTTTATTGTATTATTTTATTCTTCATTTCACCATTATTAATCTTTACTCAGCGCCTTTTCTTTTATTTTAATATAGAAGTAAATCTAAATACAATATTAAATTTAATTTTTAAAGTCAATTATGATGAACTAATACCACAATATTTTACTGATGGAAGGCTTTTTGAATAGAGGTGAATTTTGGTTATATTAATTGTTTACGAATAATTAGAGATAAGAAAATGTCTCCAAAAAGTTAAATGCTGATGGGTATTTGGCAACCCTCGAAATACGATCAATCCACTTTTTATAAAATAAAAATATATTCAAGAGTTGAACCACACATAATCTGCATTTTATCTATTTTTATTGATATTATCGGATGAGTTGTATGCAGTACAGCTCTAATGTATACAATTTTTTTTAGTTTATTTTTAACGAATATTTTAAAGATAGTAGCACTAAACGCATTTTCTTAAGTAACCACAACCAATTTTTTGTGAGCCGGACTATAGTGTTAAATATCCTGTAACACATCAGTCAAAAAGTTGTTTGACTAACTAAGAAAAACAAACTGCCAAAAAATGGTTTTACTCATCAATATAATCTCCTTTAAGGGCAATACAATCATTCCAACGCTTTTCTAACTTCTTGATGCCGTACTTATAGAAGGATTTGTCTTTTACCTCAAAATAGGTTTCAGTTGCAGCAATTACTTATTCGCCGGTAAGAAATTCATCTTACATTCGTTGATCTCAATGATCTCAAATGAGATCAGTAGTCAGTAGTAGTCGCTGGGGGCCAGATCTGGACTATACTGTGGATAAGGAAGCCAATCGAAGTGTAATTCGTGCAATTTCACCATCGTTTTTATTGACTTGTGACATGATGCATCGTCTTGGTGAAACAAAATTTTTTTCTTCGCCATATGCGGCCGTATTTTTTACAATTTCTGCTTTCAAACGATCCAGTAAAACCGTGTAGTAGTTACTATTGATGGTTTTTCCCATTTCGAGATAGTCAGTGCAGATTATATCATGTCCATCCCCAAATACTGAAGCCATAACCTTCCCAGCTGACTGTTGTGCCTTTGGACGCTTCGGACGTGGTTCACTGGCTGCAGTCCACTCAGATGATGATCTTTTTGATTCCGGAGTGAAATGATGGATCCAAGTTTCATCCGTTGTCACACATCGATGCAAAAAATCTGATTTATTAAGTGTAAACATGACCAAACACTGCTCTGAATCATCAACACGTTGTTGTTTTTGATCGACTGTGAGTAAACGCGGCACCCACTTTGAAAAGAGCTTTCTCATGGTCAAATGTTCATGCATAATTGTAAACATACTACCTTCTGATATCTGTACGGTCTCAGCTACCTCACTCAATTTCAATTTACGATAAGATATAACCAATTTGTGGAGTTTTTTGATATTTTCTGGAGTTACCACCTCAATTGGACGACCAGAACGTTCACCACCATCGGTGTCTGTACGACCAAGTTTAAATTCAGCAAACCAATAACAAATGGTTTTTTTCGATGAAGCAGAGTCCGGATAACACTTTTGAAGCCATTGCTGAACTTGTACAATATTTTTTTTCATCAAGATGCAATGATAAATTAACAAACGAAATTGTTTGGAATCCATTGTTTTGAAAATAACAAAAGTAGCTTCATTTAAACGGCTGTCACTTTTTTTCCGACTAATCGAAATGTTATGAAATATTACACAAAGTCTTTTGAAGGTTGGTACTTCATAAAAGTCATATGGATTTGACAATGGCAGCGCCATCTGTGTATTAGTCATACGACTTATTAAGTGATGTAATAAATAAATATTTGTAAAAATCATACCTATCACAAATAAATGCAGTTTGTCTTACTTAAAAAAAATTAAAAAAGATTAGTTTCAGTCCCGGCTCTTGTCTAATATTTCCCAGAAAAAACGAGGACCTCCCCGTCTACCAAAAACTGTACCACCTTAATTGAGATCAATATGTAGCCATGTGCTTAAGTACTTACTTGTTAAGCATAAATACGTCAATATGTAATGTGTGCCCAAATTGTAGCTCTACCCCCCATGACATCCGGCCATTTGACCTTTTGCCCCACCGCACTCACAATCCTTAGTTGAATCTACCTTTAGACCCACCTCATTGAAGTGGTCAAATTTCTCTGTATTAATCATGGTTGAGTTCACAACCCTAAACATATTCATTATAACACTATATTGGCGGTACGCAGATCTTAGATCAGTCATTAATTAATCACGAAGTTTATGAGGAATTAGCAAATTACACAGTGAGATGGGTGGGACTCTGCAGAAACCCCCCAGCTATTAAAGAGTAAAAGTGCCCAGATGCACTAACTCAAAAAAGGCTCAACTTCAGAATTTATTTGTTATTCATGGTTTTATTATATACGAAGAGTTTTGATCTTCGTCCGAAAAGGCCTCTGCTTGAGTTCATTTTGCATAATTTGTATGAGTTCCTATCATCTTAGTATCAAGAGTTAAGCTAACATAATATGCAGCATTTGTATATGAGATTGGAGCTCCTAATAGCCATGGATTGATTTACAGTCGTCTAATCAAATGTTCTCACTTTTCGTCCGTTTTTCCACTGTGTCCACCGCAATTAGATGAATTTCTATTTAATATTTTAGTCAGGAAAACTTCTCGATGCTGCGTGAATCATCGAATTGTTATTTATTTTCCTTTTTTGATGAAAATTTAGTTATATAAAAAATAAAAAAAGAAATTGATATTTATCTAAATAAATTTGAAGTAAAAAAATTAAACAAATGGATATTTAGCACTTTTCTAAATATTTTGTCTACACAATATAAATATTTATAAAAAAATGTGTACTTATACTTTTCTATATATACTTTTCTATATATACTTTTGTACAGAAAATTTCATGTAGTGATTTAATTACAAAAATAACAAAAAATAAATTAAAAATAATAAATCTATACATTTAATTGAATTTTGCTAATTGAATAAAACAAATATTCTGTGGTGGCTGAAAATTATTTGCAATATTGATTGGATGCACAAAAATTCCATTTTTCAAAACTAAAAATTCATTTGTGTTCTTTTTTGTATTTGATTATGTCCCGAGATTAAATGCTTTGTTGTGGTAAGACCATTAATTTAGACAAAAAGCAACAATTATTGCAATAATTCAATTATTATCAATATTTTTCCTTCTGTTGGTTGATGTAGTAAAATTCATAAAAAATAATACATAATATATAAGTTTAATCCAATCAGTTGAAATTCAATACAACGTAGCCACAAAATGGGTACTTTGAAGATTAATTAAAGAAAAAATAAGAAGCAAACTGAAGCTGACTAAGTGCATCTTAAAAGTAATGGCACAAAATTCAATCAAGATTGGATGGTAAAGTAGTCAATGATTCTTTGTGAACTCATTTGGTTTTAGTCAACATGCAACGACTTAGTTAACAAACAAATAATGACTTACAGAGTACAA